AATAATTTGCGGGTTCTGGTATGGCTTCTCAAGCACAAGCCAGTGTTTCAGGCAATAGTCTTGATTTAATGTAGGGAGTGTTTCAATAAATTCACCGCATAATACCATTTTGATTTGTAGTCGCTTCCGTAAAATATTGGGTGACTTTCCGTCATTTTGGGAGAAAGTCAATGTAAGGCAATAAATTCATAAAACAGATTCAACCAATAGTACCTTACTTCAAATAAATGGTTTGGGTTCTTGAGTCCTCCAATTTATTTGAAGAAAAGAATCATTATTTTAATGAAGAGAGTCAATCCCTTTGAAATAAAACTTTGCTTGTCATACGTTTTTGACTGAAAGCTGCTTGAGTAAAATATTTAAATGCCTTACTTCAAATCAATACCAGGATAGTGGCGTGGTTTGCCGAGTAGCAGCCATGAATTGAGAAAATAATTATGGTGTTGCTATTAAAATGATGGTGAATATTCGGCTATCGTGAATAATCCTCTTTTGGGGGGAAAAAAGACAACATTTATCACGTTGTACAATCAGCGCGCAGGGATTTTTCCATCAGCTTGAGTCAACGCAATAAGGCTGCTTTTGTTCCCGCTCGCTATCGACTCCTCTCGGAACTGAGGAGGTTTGCTGCAAACTGAACGAGATGCTATCGCAGACGTTCACCGGAGACCAGCCGGGAAACGCAACGTCGCGCGTGGACACGCACACTCGGAAATCTGATCACATATCTGCGGGTGCGTGGTTGATATCAGCTTCCAACAGGGGGTGGGGTCTCGGTGTGTTAGCCGCCTCTTGGGGGGCATCGCATTTTAGGGCCTTTTGATGAGCGATGGAGGCGATAATCCATTTATACATGTGTGGTATGGGTTGCAGTGGAGGCCATTATTTGAGGAAATACCGTGGCGTGCATTCTGTCTGAACACAACGGCTCAATCTCTCAAGTGTGTTCAATACGGGTGAGGCGGAAAACGCAGCCGAGGTCGATCCGTTGCGCTTCCCGTCGTCGGCAAATCGAGACATTAGCCGAGGCTCGTGCGTGACCTGCTGGTGAACCGCGCCGCTTGGGACCCCCCTCCGGCTTCACGTCGCCAATGCGGCATGAGCTCCAACGCCATTGCTTTGAGGAACAGCAGCGCGGTGCATATGATATGAAGTTATTGATCCATAAATTAAGGGTGATCAGTGATGTAGAATAGATCCTATGTGGAAACAGATGTTATAGGACGGATCATTTCAGCCACGGAGAAGGTGTCTATTTGTGGTGCGGTATTTATTTGTCGATGAGGAAAAGTTGTTTGGATTTTTCACACCTGGATGCTTTCCATGTCAAATGCTTGGATTTGTGTCTACTTATAGTGCGCATTTGTGAGGAATTAAATTTAAAAGAAATTTTGGATTGTAGAGGGATGGAAGATACCCGGGAAATATACGTGGACATTTCTATGGGGATATAAACTGGGGGGGGGATATAAACTGGGGATTTCAAATTTGGAAATATTCCAAATTTGAAATTATCCATTGGATTTAATTTGGACTATTTTTTTTTCACATTAGAATGATAAAAGTTAAAGTTGTATGATTGTATACACGAAATTCATGGCGGGTGAGTCTCTAGTATAATGGATTAATCGTTGTACGTTGAACAGTGTGTTGTATTTAAATGAGGCTTAGTTAAAAATCAACGGGTATTATATGAACTCATTCAGGAACAGCCAAGTCTAGACCAAGTCTGAAAAGACGTTTAAAAACGTCTTTGGGAGTGAATGAGTTCAGGTATATGTATTGTTGCATCTCCCTCCAGACGCGACGCGACGCGGATCAAGATGGAGAATGAAATGGACGTCCCAGCGTGGGAGTCGCAGCCTGACACGAGCGTCTTTGTGCCTCGGCGTGTCACTTCCTGGGAAGAGAATGGAGCGGGAAGCCAGCGGAAGCGCAAAGCACACCTCCACAGAGAGGCCTTTTCTTTCGAAAAATGGTTTGTATGTGTGAGTGTGTGTGGTGATGATATTTAGCATCAAAAAGCCTCTTTTAGGGTTTGGCCTTTTGTGAAAGGGCTTCAAAGGGGGGGGGACAATATACTGGAAGGGTGAAAAGTAACTTGGCACTGGAAATTGCATATAGAATTTTAGTATCACTTATTTAATGATGAAAACATTTTTTTTTATTTTACAGAGACGACAATAATGGGAATTTCTTACAGTCTTATTTCTTATTTTTGTTCAGGAGTGATCAATGGTAACAGTTTAGTTTCTTTTTCACAAATAATAAAGAACCTGTATTATTTGTTTCAATAAATGTGCGATAGGAATGTGAATTTTATGACCAATTTTAATGGTAACTTTTCACCCACCTCCTTGGACTGTAAATTGTTGCGGCCCAGCACAAGGATGGCCATTTTTGAAGAGTTTTGGTGACATCTAACGGCGACTCTTTGCATTGCTAGTGCATGCTTCATCACATGACAAAATAGTTGATCACTGTGCTCAAACAAGAGAAAAATTACTTATATTTGAATATTTTAGAATAACCAAGAATCATGTCTATTACAATATTAATGACATCATAATAAAATAATGTTATGTTTTTGTTTTTTTTATTACATCATAAAAAGCGTAGCCCAAACTGTACACTCTGCATTTTTAAAACTGGCTTGCTTTTATTTTTTTGATATCACGAATGATTTGTTTGTTTTTTTCTTTTCCTGGCTGCTGTTGTGCAAGAGCAAGGGTATTGGTAGAGAGTTATTAACGTTAATAAGTTACCAATGAAATCTTTCCAGCAGCACAAGTCCAAGCCCCTCCCTAAAAATGGATCACATTATGAATTTGCTTTGTTATATTAAAGCGCTATTTCAATGGGACACCCATGTAAAGCAAAAATGACTTTCGGGTTTGGGTGTGTACCACATACGTGTGCATCCAAGCGCACACACGCGGGACTTTCCGCCATGTGATTGTGTGTGGTTTTACTTGCAGGGCCAAATTGCATGACATAAGTGGTGTATGGATCCACAATAAACTAGACTTGGGGGTTTATTGCTGGTGTCAGGCTGAAACTTTCCATATTTTTTTTGAGGGGGGGGGGGCACAAGGATTCTTTCTGGCCCTTCTACAAACGAAATGTGACAACTCATGTTGCACTGCTGCCATGGCCGCAACAATTTTGCTCTGCTGTCACTGGAAAAAAAAAAAAAAAAAATCATCACCACCTGGCGGCAGTTTAATACAGACCGACACATGAATAAGAGTTTTTCAACTCACTCAGCCAGTTGCAGTAATATCGGTCATTATTTGTTTTTGCAAAGGGTAAATCACGCATGCCTGTGAGTATTGTTATATTTTCTGTCTACATGTGTTGCTTCACCGTTTGAGCTCATATATATCCACTGACGTCCGGGTTGTGACACAGTGACAGCGCTGCTATTTTTTTTCGCCAATACATTCCGATTTGCGTTGTTAGTTAGCAAAAGCTGCGTTGGTCTTAAACGCAGTGTGTAACTCTCTTCGCTATGTTTAGTTTGGCAGTCAACTTTAACTTGGGCTGGCAACAATTGCTGACTATCTGCAACCCTACAGACCACAAGTTCATTTGTAAGGCTGACGCAGTAAGACCCACCCAAAAACGTCTTCCCCCAGAAGCTGGTTTCATGTGGTGGTTTAGATGTATGTCCCCTCTGTCTAGCACCATTTGAAATCAGTGTTCTTGGGGACAGCAGCACAGCACAGCTCCCCGCCATGAGGTAGCGTCCGCGGTCCGCGATCAAACGCCCGACAGCCTTCCCGTGTTCCTTTTTTTTCTCCACTACCAGATAACCGATTTCCTATGGTGCATAGAGTCCCCCCTTCAGTCATAGTCCTTCTAGCACCA